TTTGGTGCCTACCAGATAGAGTCACTGGGAAGTATAGGAAAGCTGAAAGTTTCGGCAATCCTACCTTTCCTTACTGAAAACCATCTGAATAGCGAAAACTTGATTCCAATAAATAGAAAGAAAGAAAGAGGTAATAAGCTTGCTACTGAACTGCTGCTCTTTGGAAAGAATTAATTCTGTTGATGATTTTGGCGTCCGCTTGAACCCAAAACTTGACTTTATTGATCATATTTCGTCTATGGTGAATAGAGCCAGGGGTGTGCTTGGATTTATTAAACGGTGGTCGAAGAAATTCAATGACTCTATGTTACTAAATCCTTATATACTTCTTTAGTTCGTCCTCTCTGAGAATATTGATCCTGCGTTTGGAGCCCTCAGTACGGCGTCCATAGTAAACGCATCGAGTCGGTGCAAAAGAACTATTTACTTTTCGCACTACGCGGTTTAAATTGGGGTGCAAACCAAAGATTACCTGTACTCTAATAGACTCCTATTAATAGACTTACCGTCGTAGAACTTTCAATCGTAGAACGATGCTAGAAATTATTTTTTAAATTATTTTTAACCTTATCCATGGTGGTGTGGAAAGTGCTGACTTGTTGAGTCAGCTCAATTTCCACGTACCATGTAGAACTACTAGATCCTATATCCCATTAGTCTTGTGCCACTGTAGAACCTCCTTTGAACTGCATGAACCTTTTAGAGTCAATATTTGTACACACTAATCTCTAACGTAGATACCCTTCCCAAATTAAAATCTTTAATACTAACACACTTAGTAAACATGCAAGCAAACAACCTGGCAGCACGCCGGTAGTAAATTTCCTCGTATTCTGTTCAATATTTTCATCGCGCCTACTAACGCCTAACCCAAACAGGCACGGGCCTGATGTCATACGGGCCACTTGAATGTGCTGACCATAGTTCATCAACGTCCAATATGCAAAAAAATGGAGCGTCTGATAGGGCGATCTAGCCGATATACTGTGAACACAGCTGGAAAAACTTCGGAGCTCAGAATCTCCGGCTTTCTGTGAGCACAATAACCTGAGATGCAAACGAAAGGCTATCAGAATACAAGTTAGTAAGCCTACCACGTAAGCCTCTTTCTTTTTAACAGGAAATACCTAGGGAAAAGGTTAGTTTTTTTTGGGGCGGGATTGGAAGATGTAGAAGGCGCAGTGGTATGATCAGACCTGGGAAGAGTTATTCCTACAGGCAGCCTTTTCTTTTTCTTCGCTTCAAATTCCTTAACAACAACGTACTCTGACCAGAAGTTGGGAGAGTAAATAGTGTTAAAAAGCTCGTTAGGGACATATTTTTTGAAAGATGAAATATCCCTAGCTTAAGAAAATTTAAACTTTTCCACCTTAATCTTTATTTTCTCGGCTCGCCTATAAAGGCGATAACATCTTCCGTTGTTTGATCAGGGGAATTAATGCTGAGGTCGAGGCCTGTGCCGAGGGAGGCTGCTGCTGAGAGCCCGTTGCAGGTAGTTGGGGTCCGTCGACATGCTGCCCACGAATAGCAGTTTTTTTTGCGCCTAGGAGACTCACTTAATAGCGTAAGAACTGCAGCGGCACAACGAAAGCGATAGAGTGGGAGAGCAGATAAATAGCAAAAACGTTTAGCTGTTGCGACGGCGCAAACAAAACCTAAACGAAGAAGGCACAAAAAGGAATGCAAAATATGCAAAAGCTAGCACTAGCAGCACAACTAAATTGGGAAATAAAACAATTATAAACACAAATCAGAATAGCTGGATGCACACGCGAAGTGAACGGGAAGTTATTAACACAAAATAGAACATTTAAGTTAACCGCGGTGGTTATTTTCAAACTTTAATACAAAGCGAGAGCGCAAGGAAAAACACGTCCGTTCACTTGGAAAGATGAAATTGCAATTAATAAAAAATATTTCTACATTTACATTTATACTGGGACTTTAGTAAATTGTTTATAAATTATAATATATAATATTATGTAGGACCAGTTGCTCCGTCTGCGTTAATATCGAATAAGATATTCGAATAATTTAAACGGCATTTGACAGGTAACTTTTGTAAATTTGGTGTATGTATCGGACAATGTGCCAATCCTCACACCTATTCGCTTTTTTATAGGGTAGCAGGGTGGCTCTATTCCTTACTTGGCGAAGACTGTCAATGACAATGTTTGTGTAAACTGTCAAGCGGACTATAATCGAGATTGTCCTGATTGTTCCGAAAACTGAACAGTCATCGCTTTGGAATTACAAACCAATTGTAAACCAATTTATCCCGACCTCAGCTGTCCGCAATGGACTTCGTATGTCACTGGGAAACGTGGTAACCGGAATTCAACTAACAACAATACGGAATTTTCTAACCTTCCTGGCAACAGGAGATCCAAAGTTCGTGAGCATTTCTCTGCCAATGTTGCTCCATTTGCCTCCACTCCTGACTGTTGAGTATTTTCCAAATGATGCAAGAGCTTCAAAAGGTAGTCGCACAGCTATCCCTCACAGTGGCAACTCTAGCCCAGAATGTGAACCAGATTCAGGGGAGATCCTCTTTGACAGTTCCCAGTTATAGAGTCAATTAGGACTAATGACTTCCGCATTGGATTCTGGAACGCCCGCAACCTGACATCAAATGTGCATGAGGTGCTTATATTTACCCTACAGCACAAAATTGACGTCATGTTAATTGCGGTATTAACTTTACTCTTGATTAAGGCTGAAGTTTCCCAAGGAAGCGCGCTGGGACCGGCGTTGTATAGCTTGTTTATCCAATATATGACGAGGTCCATGCAGAATCGAATACTGGCCACATTTGCAGACGATACTGCGGTGCTCTCCAAATCAAACAGTATTTATGACGCCACGGATATGCTTCAGCTGTTCAGAATAAGTACCTGGGGCAAACTTTGGACACCCGATAAACCTTCGCCAAGCATACAATTACAGTTAAGCGCTCAGTTAGGACCCATGGCGGCTTTTTGCACCTTTAGTACAATAAGGTGAAAAAATTGAAGCACTTTACTTATACAAGCCCAACCCAAACTGTCGTTCTTGGCTTACAATTTATGAATGTATCGATCTTGTATGTTGAAAGAAAACGAAACACATTTCAAATTTGAATGCTTATACCTCCACAAAAAAAATTAGTTATGTTGGTTGCAGATACGGAGTCCTTATGCAATTTTCTGTCGGATAATCAGACTGAAAGGTAGTCCACTACCCAAAGAGGAGGGCCAATGCGCAGTTTTCGACATTAACAAGGAAGCTGAGAATATTTTATCTTCCCCAGATACGGAAAGATGTCGAGGAACATAGATAGTCTACCTACGCCTCAAAAAGCGGCACCCCGGGGACAAGAATGCGCACACCCTGCAGTCAGGTGGAGAAGGGCGTAGGTCTGGACACTACCATAGACTCCGCCCAAGAAATAAAGATTGACGAATCGATGAAGGGAAAATACAGTGACCTGACAATCATAGAGAACCCGCCGTGAGGTATGCAGGTAGTACCAAAGTACCAAAGACTCCCTGCAGCAAAGTACACAGGGCTAAAAAAAACTCGTGTAGAAATTTCTGGACCAGAAACGGCTAGACTCTGGAAGATGCAATCGAAGCACTCTATCATACAGAGTCTGTCGAAACGCGAAAACGGAAATTGGACTAAGGTAATAAAGAAGAGCACTAATGCAAGCCCACTTCCCATAATGAACAGGGGTTACCGATGCTCACGAACACCTGAACCTAGCAACTGGAGAAGAGCATCTCCCAACAGATTTACTATCTGTCAAATATACAAGTATATAAAGCACCGCGAGCCGTGCTACAAATCACCCCACGGCTCTTGCCGTGCTTTATCCCTATCCAATGGAAGACCTCTCAGATTGTCTTACTGGCACAATCAAAAAAATTGCAGTCATGTGAGCCCCAATGGTTACAGACCAATAAGCCTCACCAAATTCTTACTTTAGACGCTAAAAAACTGGTGAACTTATACATCAGAAACAATTAGGGAAGATAACTGTCAACCAACATGCCTACACAAAAGGAAAATCAGTGGAGACGGCACTAGTTTGGTTAATAGCCACTATTGAGAAAGCTCTACACAACAAGTAATATGATCTCGGGTATTCAACAACTTTAGCAAATCTATCAACACGCATCCCGCCGTTAACTTTGGATAAGCAATCTTTAAAGTTATGGGCGGAACAATCCGATAAGGCACCGTTTCTATCGTGAGAGGAGCGCACAGGGGCACACCGGAAGGTAGACACCTAGTTAAGAGGTTTTAGAGGTTTATGATTAAAGTTTTTAGTTTAGGAAGGCCGTCTACGTTACAGATTAGTATGTACAAATCTTTAAAATTTGCACATAAGACTATTTCTAATCGATATGTAAAAATTAAGCTAAGTCTGAACTTTGCTTGTCATCACGGTAATAAATAATGGAAGGCCTTGCATAATTTTACGGTGGGTTAAGGAAGGCAAGTTAATTTGGGGAATATGATCTATAGGTCAAATTAAGTAACCAATTATCCGCTTTTTTATTTAAATCAAATAATTAAAAGGTTTAATTTTTAAGCAGATCAAAATAATTTGTATAATAGTTTTTTGATTGTACCATAACAGCTATACTATGTAGTCGTTCGATCCGGCCCGCTCCGACTTTTATAATAGAAGACTAAATAAAAATTTTATTTGGATAGCTTCAAAACAGATAGACTAATTGGGGTAGAGACGGACAAACGGCCAGACATATATAGCTAGATCGACTCGGCTGATCAAGAATATATTTACTTGTATCGGAATTACTTTAGGATCGGAAAGGTCTGCTTTACTGCATTGCAAATTTTAGACTAAATTTATAATACACTGCAATGGTATGAAGGTGAAAAAGGTCGAATAAAATCTTAATTATGAATAATTGCAAAACAAAATATTTGTTTTCTTGTTATCAGTACATCTTTAGTAAAAAAATCTAAAATTAAATATTTGAGCGAAGTACCTGATTAAAAGTTCCTTGTTGTGGGGTTGTTTGATACTTTTCCCATTTTGCCATAACATCACACACATTTTCTTCCGATAAAAGACTTCTTTCTGAATTTCCAATAACTTCGTAAATCGCATATCCCTTAGAATTATCTTGTAGTCCAATAGTTTTCTTTATAATTTCCATTACATCATTTGCTGAAGAACTTGGTTGAAATTCGATAGAATAATAACGACCATCCATAAAGTAAAATTTTGAATAACAAGGTCTTCGGTTAGTTGTACATAAAATTTCATCGGTGCATGGTGTCCACTGACGCCTTCTTGTTCCTTGGGTTCTAAAAAAACACTTTAAACACAAAACACATTAGTATTTCTTAAAAAAAACGTTATAAAAAAGATTTAAGTATTATAAAGTAAAAAAAAAGTTTCCAGACACTAATTTTATCTCTTAAAAATTTATAAATCTATATATATAAAAATGCTCTGTTCGTGTCTACATCCTTCATAGACTTGAAAAGTTCTGAACCGTTTAAGCCCAAATTTTTACACAACATGCGTTGAGGTTCCAGCTCGGTTATTGTCTACTTTTGATGTTGATAGCTTATCTGCGGTTGCGAATATATCAATTTTTTTAGCGTTTCCCCGTGCCCCTACTGCTGCGCCCTCTACAGGCAGCCAGCTGAATCAAAGCATTTCCTGTCAAACATTCAAAGCATTTTGAAAGAAGAAACTTGAAAAGTTCTGAACCGTTTAAGCACAAATTTTTAGAGAACATGCGTTGAGGTTCCAGCTCGGTTATTGTCTACTTTTGATGTTGATAGCTTATCTGCATTTGCGAATATATCACTTTTATTCGCGTTTCCCCGTGCCCCTACTGCTGCTCCCTCTACAGGCAGCCAGCTGAATCGAAGCATTTCCTGTCAAACATTAAAAACATATTGAAAGAAGAAATTGGAGATACAAATTTTATTTTTTGTTCAGGTTCAGTAAGAAACGAAGTCATGCCACCCAAGAAGTCGAGTTTGGGTCGTCGTACTCGCAATACAGAAGCAAACAGACGTAAGATTACGAATATGACTGACGAAGAACGGGCCTCCATCCGAGAGACGCGGCTGCGCGATGAACTTTTACTCATACAGGTTAATGGTTCGGAGGACCGATTGCAATCATATATTGAAATGTCGTCAGTTGTTTCATCTGTACATTGTCGATATGTATGCAAAAATTGAAACAGAACGTTTGCTGTTCCTCCGATTGAATCAGACGAAACTTCGGTCCGAGGAATATATCCATTTGCGGGATGCTGTGATGAATGACCGTAATACAACCAACGTTGGAAAGCTCACGATTTTGCCATCCTCATACATAGGTAGTCCACGCCACATGCATGAATATGCTCAAGATGCCATGGTATATGTTCGTTGCCACGGCCGTCCAGACTTATTTATCACCTTCACATGCAATCCAGCTTGGGACGAGATAGTACAGCTGTTATTTCCTGGACAATCGTATAGGGATAGGCATGACATCACAGCCCGTGTTTTCAGACAAAAGCTCAAGTCACTGATGGATTTTATTGTGAAACATGGAGTTTTTGGATCTGTGCGGTGCTGGATGTATTCAGTAGAATTGCAGAAGAGAGGATTGCCGCATGCGCACATACTGATTTGGCTGTATGATTTTTATCAAAATTACTCCGGATAAATCGACGATGTTATATGCGCTGAGATTCCACGGGCCGAGGTTGATACGGATTTACATGAAGTTGTCATCAAGATCATGATCCATGGCCCATGTGGTACCCTCAACCCATGTTCACCATGAATGGTAGACGGGAAGTGTTCCAAGCGATATCGTCGAGCATTTACAGCCAACACCGTAACAGGGGACGATGGATATCCTCTGTATGGGAGACGGTCAACTGAAGATGGAGGGACTTCGGCAACTTTAAACATGAGAATTGGTGATATTGAGGTAGACAATCGTTGGGTGGTTCCATACTCACCACTATTGTCAAAATCATACAAAGCGCACATCAACGTAGAATATTGCAATTCCGTGAAATCGATTAAATATATCTGCAAGTACGTGAATAAAGGCAGCGATATGGCAGTTTTTGGTGTTCAGGCAGAAAATGGTGACAACAATGCAGTACGAGTTGTCGATGAAATATCTCAATACCAGGCTGGAAGATACATAATCAGCAACGAGGCTGCATGGAGAATTTTTTCGTTCCCCATTCATGAACGCTATCCAGATTTAGTTCACTTGGCAGTCCATTTGGAGAATGGTCAACGTGTCTATTTCACAGAAAGAAATGTGCAAGAAAGAGTCCTGAATCCGCCAGCGACAACTCTGACTGCCTTCTTCACCTTATGCCAGAAAGATAATTTTTCCAGAACCTTGATGTATTCAGAAGTGCCCTCTTAACCATAATATGCCACAGAAAAACGTGGCAGGGTACAGCTAGTAAATAAATAAATATATATATATATATAGCAGATTTTAGCAGATTTATATATATATGTATCTGTGTATGTATATATATATATATATATATATATATATATATATATATATACATACACAGATACATTCTTTATATTCACACTAAATACTACTGTTGGGTCAAAACCAAATAATTAGATTTTCGTTTATAATGGAATTCATTGCATTTTGAATGTTAGTTAACATAATATATTTCATACTTATGCTGCCAACTCATATAAACGAATGAGTGGAACATAGGAGAAGAAGGAATTGAAAATAACGACCTGAAATTATGTATCGCCTCGAGAACGTGAAGAAACATTTTTTTGACCGTTACCTGACTTGTGCAAGTTTTTTTTTGTGTTCCTTAGCTTGTATCATCAGCCGGTTATACTCAAGGGGCTTCCGTTGCAACAGTCCCATTCTCCAAGTTTTATAACTAACCTATCTCTCGTATTATTGGACACAATATCATCGCTCTTTGCATCGCTAACTGCCGCCAAAACAAATGGTCAGTAGTGGCCCAGCCTTATCGATAATGCATCCGCACTCGTTGCGTTCGTTTGCCAGGCAATAATTGCCTTGGCAAGGGTCATCTCATTGGCAATAGTCCGCCGACACAGATATGCCGCACCTCTGCCTTAGCGCGTAATTTTCAGCTTCATCGACTATCACCTCAGTCGGCCGAATTTCCTTTATAATAACCGCAAGCGTTCACACATACACGAAACCCCGTTTCGATTGTGTCGCCCTGCTCACTGGACTGGTTCTGGTCAAGGATATATATAGGATGCTACAAAACAGAAAGAGCGCTGTCAAATTAAATTAATTAATTTGGTCCGGTGCGCTTGCCAGGTCGAGCAAAGTGGGCGAACGTGAATGAAAAATGGAACCACAACGGCGAGCTTCGGAACTGCCGGGAGAGGATAAACCCTAAACACAGTCAAAGATGGACAAGAAGGAGATTTTGAGGCCGATATTGGTCGCGGCATCTCATTTAGTATCGGAGACCGACGAAGAGGAGTCGAGATTGGAAAACAGAGCAATCCCAATCCCCAATCTAACCACACAGGTGGGGCTCAGGCACCACCACAGAACTATCTAAACTTACACAATATTAAAAGCGAGCAAAGGTCAACAGAGCCCGTTTCGTTCTCGGTAAGATAAAACAGAATAAGGCTGAGGGCAAGACCAACCCTCGAGATGCCGAGGAGATCGCGGAACACGAGGCCTACAAAACGGCGAACCCAGCGGCATTTCAGCCCTTACTGGCAAAGCGCAATCGAACACAGGAAGTAAGCGAGAGCGCACCTAAGAGGGTGAATGACTCACAGGGCAAGACAAGAGCGACAAACATGGTCATCTGCGACAAATCACATGATACCACCTCAACTAACGAAATAACTAACTAGATATCGAAAATCGTGCAGATTAACCTAAAGCGGAGCTTTCACGGTTCAGCGAATCTCACGAGCCTTCTAAGGAAGAAGAATATCGACATCGGTCTGGTACAGGAGCCTTGGACCAGCAAGTCGACGAGCAAGTCGCTGGACTATTAAGCAAGATTCTTGCCAAAGGGCACACAAGCCTCACCCTTATCAGCAGAGCAGACGGCACTGCAATAGAAGAGTCACTTGAGCTACTAGTTGACACTCACTTCCAAGGGAACCTACGAGAGAACTCGGAACCCGAGTAGGAAAAGAACACTCAAACAGACACGCCAACGAAAGACATCATTACCACGGAGCGAATCCAGTGGGCAATAGATTCTTTTGACAAGTACAAAAGCCCGGGCCCAGAAGACATTACAACACAAGCAATACACGATGACCACCTTCATAGACATCGAAGGCGCGTTCAAAACCGTGAACCCCGACTCCATCCTCTGCTCCCTCAACTTGATAGGTATTGAGAGAGACATCAGAGAGTGGATCGGGGTTATGCTTAAGGACGATCAGAGCCGAACTGAAAGGCACTCACCTCACGCGGACTGTGAAGAAAGGCACACCTCAGGGCGGGGTTTTGGCGCCCCTACTCTAGCTTATAAACATGAACGCCATATTAGAAGATCTCAATATGAGTGGAGTCAAAGCAGTTGCATACGCAGATGACGTAGTACTGCTAGTATCAGGACCCTATTCTGACGTTTTCAGCGAAACAATGACAGGTGCGCTGGTTGAATTAAACATATGTATGAACAAAAAAGTAAGCCAAGTCTCATACCAGCGATAGGATTATCAATCCAGATCGTTCGCAGAGCCTGAAAGCTCGCGCGTAGTACGATCTCTAACAAGATCAATATTTCCGACCTTTTGCGCCGCCGATCAACAACGATTACAGACGTGCCTGCCCAAGCGCAGAAGACAAAGAGTAAAGAGAATAAACACCCAGTGAAAAGTACAACCACGCCGTGCCAAGGCCTTCTTGGCAGCCATCGATCGATACCGTTAGTACTTATACTACACATTTTAAATAATTAATTTTTTCATGGGTGTGTGGCTATATCTTCTTGTCCCTCTCTCTCCCTCGACGCTGCGAGTCTCGCGTTTTGGCACTACCATTCGCGAAATTTAAAGAAGTCAAGACCTTCCCCGCTTTCCCTTGACTTGTGTTCCTACACTTGGAATCCCATTGCCGATCAGCCTGAGTCAGTCCATTTATCGCGAAACGCCCCGTAGTTAGCTTCCTTGTCCAGCCCAACCTCGGAATCAGTGCCAACCGCCAGATAGCCTGCGCGCCCAGACGGAGTCGACCCCGTTTTCGCATTCTCCGCAAGACGCACTATCCCCTTGCTTTCGCCCTTGCCACACCGCCACACCCATACTCGCCTATTCTCCTATCTATACAAATATTCTTCCTTGGTTGCGACTGAGATCTACCCCGGCCTGAGCACTTCGTTACAAATCTGAAAGGGTATACAAACTTCAGCGTGCCGGAATTAGCTTTCCCAATTATACTATTATGATACTTTCTAAATGTTGGTTTATCTTTATTTTTGGATTTGACAGCTTCTAAGACTAGATAACTAGATAACTCTCTTATCGAATCGAGCGTATAACTAATAATTTCAGGACCGTGGACAACAACTTTGTGAACTGTCCAGTACAAAGCTTCCGCCATGCTAAAATATTGCACACCTTAAAGTTTGTTTAATTTTTTCTAGCCGTATTACCATCATTTAATGATCCACATCACCCACTGCTGGTTTGCTTAAATGTTTTCCTATACGCTGCAGGAGCTGCAGTCCGGCAGATTAGAGAGGGATGAAAATGGATTTTGCCGGCTATACCCTGGCAGGCGCTACAATTTTCTTACTTCGGTATTGCATGTCTTTTCTTAATTCTCTTTGCATTGGGAGTTGAATGCTATTACATTCAAAAGTTTTTTGCGTACTAGTTAAAGTTACACAAAAGTTAAATATAATAATAAGTTAAATGTAAGTTATTTCTGTTCAATAAATACATGAATTTTCAGAAATGATGTTAAAAATAGGTGGGACTTTAACCTAGATAACGTGAACATGGAATTTCGTTAGATTTTCGGTGATTTTTATACCGTTGCAGTGTAGTATAATATTATTCAGATGTTCGCAAAACGTTTGAAGTCATATCCGACTATATCAAAGGTATATATTCTTGTTCAGCATCAAAAGCCGAGTCGATATATTTATGTCTGTATGTCCGTCTGTGCTTGTGTCCGTCTGTGTTTCTGTCCCTCTGTACATTTCTACGCAAACTAGTCGATTTTATGAAAATTGGACTACTATACCAAAAAAAAAAATTATAACTTTTTCAGTTTTCAATAGATTTTCATAAAATTTGAGTTATTGCCCTGTTATATTATTTTAGAATTCGGATTTTAATTTTATGAAGAGTGGACGACTCTATCATATAGCTGCCATTCAAACGATCGTTATATAGGATAATGCAAAACTATTAATGAAAAACTGTAAATATAATATGTATAGGAAAATGAAATGAAATCAGGCATTACTTCATTGTTTTTTTTTTTACATTAATATATAAAATTTATATTGAGTCCTAGTCATCCATGTTCTATCTGCAAAGGTATATAATCTTTAGCGTGCCGAAGTTAGTTTATAATATATATATTATAACATAATTGTGCAAAATACTGGAATTTCTCAAATTTAGGGCGACTTGCCTTGGGATCCATTTTAATGGCGAATTTCTAAATGTACGGGCGAAAAGTGGCTTTTCATGGCGATTTCAGGTTAAAATTTGTATGAGTGCATGCTCTCTCTCCTTTTCTATTAGTTCAAAGAGCTTTCACCCCGCTCGCCCAAATCTAGGTTTACGTTTTAAGTTATTAATTATAATTCACCTTCATCGGCGCAATTTCCCGAAAAGTTCACGTTGTTTTTTATTATCGTGTCAACAGATTAATCCGCCCCCTTCTTGGCCCTACAGGACAGAATAACTTCCATTTTAAAAGCTCAGTTCGTCTCGGTAACTTTAACACGAAAAATTAAACATTTGGGACAATAGTTTACAAGATGCTATAGGGAGCGGATTTGAAAAATATCTTTTTAAGCGGGAACCTTTTGATTAAACAATGGCTAGCAAATTTAGTCACACAACCTCTCCTACAGCTCAGTGATAGACTTAACTCTAATTACCCGTGTTTTCATTATCGAGTGTACATTATTGCTGCCAGTCGTACAGTGAGGTTTTGCGAAACTAAGTTCGTCTGACTTTTCTGTATGATTGTCTAAATCATTCATGGGCACGAAAAATAACGGAATGAGCCAGACATCAAATTTTAACAACAACAACCACCGTCGCAAATTAACCAATGAGTTGCAGGTTTTCTCGACAAAAAATTACATTTATTTTGTTTTTGTGTTCTCGAGCAAGCACTGACTTCCAGGTTTTCAAAAAAAAAACATGTATTTTGTTTTTGTGTAGATGTGCGCTGAGGCCTCTGCCGACAGGCAATGTTCTATTGCAAAACATAACGGAATGAGCCACACGAGCTTTAGGAGCCGAGGCGTGCCCATGTATGATCTAAATCCAAATCCAATTTATCCGACACTACAGCACCTTCAAAATCGAAAAACCCAGTTAATTTCCAAAACTATCCCGATTCTATAATATTCTACAATTTTGCGTACAATTTTATGAAAATCGGGCTACTTTATCATAGAGCTCCCATAGGAACGATCGTTAGATATATAGGAAAAATGCAAATCTGTGAATGTAAAACTGTAAATATAATATGTATAGGTGAATGAAATGAAAGCAGGTATTACTTTCTTGTTTTTTAACATAAATATATATAATTTATATTGTATTGATTCCTAGTCATTGAAGTTCTATCGGCGTGCCGAAGTTAGCTTCCTTTCTTGTTTTTCTATTGAATTATTGTCGTTACAAACCCTATCGAGTTTGCTAGTTACGTGTTTATAACAGAACAGCGAGACAAAAGTACAAGTAAGAAAATTGAGTTGACTATTTTATACTTTGAGATATATATATTTCATATCAACAAAATTCGACATTAATCAGTATTTGTGGTATTACTGGCTCAGTACTTACGTTTTCGGCAAATCTTGCGTATTTACCCTCCTCAGATAAATAATCACTAGCGCATCGTTTTAAATGAGCAATTAGGTACTTTCGAATAGATTTCAAGGATGGTAAAATAATACTGCATACAACGGATAAAAGCGCCCAGTTTTTTAAATTTATTCTTGAGTTAACATCTGGATGATCCGTTGTCTGCTTAATTAATTGAAGATAAAGTTCATTTAACAAAGACTCTTTTTTCATACATTTCTCCAATATTGATTGTACTATTGGAATATGTTCATCCTCAGCCCGTTTTATTGTTTCGCCTGTAAATAAACAGAAATTTAGTGGTTACTAAGTTGTAACGACATCCTGGGATTACAAATTTATAAATTCTGTTAATTACGTTACTAAAATTCTCATGTTTTGTAAACTCAGGTGACCCTGTTGACTTAAATATTTTTTTTTGGGTCGGATAACATAGCATGCTTCAGAAGGACAAAGAAATCAATATCAAGGGATCTTACCCACAAAAAACTCTAGGACTTGTATTTTTCAAACGGTTTTATTCACCCCGTTTGTTTTATTTGTTCTTGGGTCAAATTTAGTAATTCAAATTTCACCCTCTTCCAGTCAACCGATTAATCTGAAATTTTGTATACACTTTGGATTTTGGTGACAATACAATTATATTTATTCATTATCATTATAAATTCAAGATGGCCGCCGCTACAAAATGGCGATAACTTAGGTTTTATCAATCCCATCAACATGGGTATCAAATAAAAGGTCTCAACAAGTAGAATACAATTTACTATGCAAAATTGAAATCTAAGATGGCCGCTGCTACCAAATGGCTGATATCAATTGTTTATCAATCCCACCAATATGGGTATCACATAAAAGGGCTTGGCAAGAAGAATACAGTGCACTATACAACCTCAATATTTAAGATGGGCGCAGCCACTAAATGGCGTATAATAATAAGATTTAAATTTAGAAATTAAATCTGTAATTTAGGTATCTGATTAATCCAGCCTGAATCCACCACCCAAGTAAAAATTTTGTATCGTGTTGAGGACTGTGTGGCGTTAGGGTGCCTAAATATGATACGTCGTTAGCGGTAAACCACCCAAGTTAAGGTGAAAGGTTAAAACGCGCCGAGAACTGTATGGAATTACGGTGGATAAAAATGATATGTCGTTAGCGTTTTCCCCTCAAGACTCAGGCGCATCTTGTTGTACATAGCCTTGTATGCAACAGATGTACCTCCGTCCGAATTCATTTCGCAAGAGACTGAGTACATCTGATACACCCGAAAGCCATACAGTTTCCAGCTAAGTACAATTACGGGACGGCTGAAAGAAGAATGTTGCCTTTAATACTATCATGGGCTTCTACAATACATAAAATGCAGAGTTAGTAGAGTAAGATCTTTGCAGGGACTACGTACAGAGGAGTTGGACTGCAATAAACTAACGGGCAAGAAACCTTGCAATAATGAAGCACTAAATGAATTAAACAGAATGCGAAATAAAAACTAAAAATTAGAAAAAAAAAATAGGTAAAAAAAACTTTTTAAGTTAAACGGTTTTATGTTAAACATACATTGCAATGTTTAAGATAAATGTACAAAAAACCAAAAAATAATAAAATAGATACATTCGTGGGAATTATAAACATATTCATAGACTAGAATAAAATAAAACCATGGGGCACGTCAATTGTCTATAAATTATCGACTTAATGTGCGATAGAAGAATCGTTTTATTCGTCGTTAGGCAGTTGGTCCGCAGACGGTGAGGAAATTACTTACTATTTTCTTGTTCATGGAAATTCCAATAGTTATACACTCCATGTAAATAAAAGAGATGTCTCAACTAGTTTATCGTTGGACATTCACACTGCTGGCTGGCGAGGAATCGTCGTTTAATCGACAAAACATATGATAAAAGTACTACTCGCTCACCACTATGAAACCCTAAAACTCGCTTATAATCGAGCTTGCTAGCTTGTTTCCACAGTCTAGCCCTACTTATCACACGTCCATCGTTGTCGGTTGAACAACTGCCTAATTATAGTGTAATATTACAAAACAATCATTTTAATCAACGATTGTAGACAATTGAAGTTCCCTACGGTTTTATTTTAGTCTAGTCTCTGCATATGTTAATAATTCCCATGACTGTATCTATTTTATTATTACATTTATCTTAAAAATTGCAATGTATGTTTAACATAAAACCGTTTAACTTAAAAAGTTTTTTTTTACCTATTTTTATTATAAGAAAAGTTTTGAGGGCCGTTTTAGTACAAATATTTTTCTTGGATCTGATGATCGTTAGGGGGATTTTAGAAGGATAGCAGCCGCTGCCTAAAAACGTGTTGGCCTATTGCCTGTTTGCCCCTAGGATGGAAAACTTAAGATTTGGGTTATCAATAATTTCACATAATAATTTAAAAGATTCATAAATAATATAATATTGTTACACTGCTACAATAATTAGAGGTTTCATTAAAGACTTGACAGAAATTGGTGAAATTGTTCACCTTATCATTAGAAACCTCCCACTTCTTAATTATTTGGAAAGAATCGTTTATTATTTCCCTCCACAAAAACGGTAGCAAATTGGATGCCAGCAATTATAGAGGAATCTCCAAGTTGTCGGCCTTCCCTAAACTCTTCGAAAATATAATCACTCCTCACTTGCAGTACCTTTGTAAATCAGTTATTTCTCCATGTCAACATGGTTTTATTAAGCGAAGATCAACAATAACAAATCTTTTGGATACATGTTTATATTTATATTTCTAAAGCAATGAAGTAATACCTGCTTTCATTTCATTCACCTATACAAACTTTATTTTCAGTTTTACATTCACAGTTTTGCATTTTTCCTCAACATCTAACGATTGTTTGTATGGCACCTATATGATATATGTAGTTGTCATAAAATTTGACACAAAATTTAAGACTATAATAAAATGGCTATTCTCAAATTTGATGAAAATGTGTTAAAAACTAAAAAGCTATAATTTTTAATTGTATTCATTTGTCGATCGTTCCTATGAGAGCTATATGATATAGTAGTCCGATTTTCATAAAATTGTACACAAAATTTTAGAGTAATACGAAATACGCTATATCTCAAATTTGTTTAGATTCCGTTGAAAACTGAAAATGTTATTTTTATTTGTAAAAATTTTCTGCAAAGTTTCATTCAGATAGCTTCAAAACTGAGAGACTAGTTTGCGTAGAAACGGACAGACCGACAGAAGGACAGACGGACAGACGGACAGACGGACATGGCTAGATCGACTCAGCTATTGATCCTGATCAGGAATGTATATATACTTTATATGGTCGGAGGTGCCTCCTTCACTGCGTTGCAAACTCCTGACTGAAATTATAATACCCTGGAAGGGTATAATAAAGGCAATCGCGAATAGTGAGAAGACAAATTGGGTACGATTTATACCTAAAATGTGTGATCCGTTATACAGTTTTAATTTAGCGCTGTTATGCTCAAATACAGGGAATACCATTGTATCAAAGCGCCGGATGGTGCACATGATTATTAAGAAAGTAAGATAAAAGGTTTAATTTCATATACCGAAAGTTATCCTTACCTAACTTAAGAATGAATCAAAATTCGATCACCTAATTTTTCACCACAGTGCGAAAGCTTACAACGAGTGACATAATAGAACCATAACCTGTTTCCCTAAAAACGCTTTAAAACGAGCTAAAGAGTCGGGCAGACCCACGAGCCACAAGCAGGGGGAACTACACAACCTGCAAGATATCAACAACCCACGAGGGTTGTCCGGTCCAACCTAACCCAACCTTACCCTTTTTCGATCTACTCTTGAACATAACCGTATATACTCCGCACGCCTGCTCTGTCGTTGAGCTCAAATATTTAAATTATTTTAATTTTTGTTTTCGTCAGGATTTCCGATCAGAACTTTTCGCTCTCTCAATAACAACTTAAAAATACTCATTAAGAGCTCGAGTTACTGCATACATTTTTCCGCCGCCCCCCAAACCAAACAGATGAATGTTCATTAACCCATATACTGTGTGCATGAACGCTGAGCATGGAATTCGGAGGAACTGATCGAAGCTAGCAACCTCAGCAGTCACGCGAAACCTGCAAGCAATGCAGATTCCGATTTTCCATTCGATTTCATTCTCATAGTTCACCCAAACAGTCCTCTGAACTTTGTAATACGGAGCGGCCGAATAAATTGTGTGCTGACTGTATATTCCAATTAATTTGATAAGTCAGTTCTGAGTTTACAATTTCAGTCAATCTTAGAAGGTCTTTTTATCAAACACATTTTCTATTAAACCACCCTCCTGTACCAAAATTCCATTCCTGTCCGATTCCTGTTGTCATGTTCGAAAGACAAAAACAAATCCCATGGGTACAGCTCAATGGCCAAAACTCATTTTTCGCAAGTATTCAAATTTCCGTATTTTCAATAATATCAAGCTGCTATGTTACATACCTAAAATGTTAACTTAACAGTTCAATGTTAAAATAACAGCTGTTAAAGTCAGCTGTTGCAAGCGAACACCACGCTGCCTAAAAGGTTGACTTTGAGGTGCAGTTTCAAATTGGCATATCTCTGACAAAAAATCATTAAATAACCAAATTCAAACTGAATATTAATTCTTCAGGTTATTACTATATGTTGATACTAAAATGCTCCGTGTTGCGTTCGTATTTTTCTAAAAATTTGTATATGGGAAATTCTCTAGTATCGAATGCGACATTCATACGCATTCAAACTAAACTAAACTAAACACATGTGCCAAGACTTAATTTTAAATTTATAAAAATTGAATCGTATAGGTCTTGGTTAGCACTATAATTGGTGCTAAGGTCGATTTTGAACCCTTGTTTGTTTTCAAGATATTCACTAAAATGTACTGCGTTCGCACGCGACAAAAATAGAAGTTACATTTGAAAAAAAACAGTTTAAGCTCTGATTTCAGCGAAACGTGATGAAAAATTGTAGTACAATAAATTTTAATGAATTACGTAATGAATTCTCTTAATAACGTATTTTGTTTGATTTTAAAATATTAAGTAGTTATTTTTTAAATTCAATTTTACTCCCGGTCGCACACGACACTTTGGAAAGCGATAATTTAAATTAAAACTGTACGACTATTGGTAATCGCATATGTCCTTTAGCATTTCATATTGACTCTTTGGGTTTTTTATGTCATATTAGAAGCCAAAAGTCAAAGCAAAATGCTTTGGTTTAAGAGATTGGCATCAAAACAAAACATGCCATTTTTATGCCTTTTTTA